TTGAAATCCAGAAAATAGCTCTCCCTCCGAATCATCCCGACTTGGCTACTTCCTACAACAACATCGGGTTGGTGTATAATAGCATGGGCGAGTACTCAAAAGCACTTTCATCGTATGAACGATCACTTGAAATCCGTAAAATAGCTCTCCCTCCGAATCATCCCGACTTCGCTCAATCTTACAACAACCTCGGCTTGGTGTATGATAACATGGGCGAGTACTCAAAAGCACTTTCATATTATGAAAAAGATCTTGAGATTACCAAGAAAGCTCTCCCTCCGAATCATCCCGACTTGGCTGCTTCCTACAACAACATCGGCTTGGTGTATTATAACATGGGGGAGTACTCAAAAGCACTTTCATCGTATGAACGATCACTTGAAATCAAGAAAATAGCTCTCCCTCCGAATCATCCCGACTTGGCTATGTCGTATGGTAACATCGGTATGCTGTATGAGAAGATGGGAGAATATTCAAAAGCACTTCCATTTCTCGAACGAACACGCGATATCTTCAAAAAAGCTCTCCCTCCAACACATCCGAATGTCGCGAAATCTGAAAGAGATGTTGAAAATGTAAAAAAGAAAATGTAATTGTCTTTTTTTTTGATTTTAAAGAGAAAATAAATTGGCCATCTTGAGCCCAAGGCTCGCCGAAGCAAGGAGCTACAACATTTCGCGCACGCGCGACCAGAGATACCCTCCGTATTCTGCTGGCTCGTACAGTGGACAAAGCCGGCAATGGTTAGGCAAACATACATCGATGTACGTATGAATAGTACGACCATGATCATCATCTTCGAAAAGATGATGACGAAATGGACGCTTCTATTCATATATACATTGATGTATGCTATGAAGGCCTACCATCTGCACGCCTGCACGGGTCACCAACAGAACGTCGGATATCCCTGGGAAGGTTCAATTGTTTTAGAGCCACCCTCAAAAGCTCCATTAGTTAGAAAATTATTTTTGTTCTTCTGTTAGGAAGAACGAGAAGAAGTAGAAACGGAAAGACGCGATTAAAGACGACGTTACGGAATGATAATACGCAGCGCAAGATAACAACCGGTGTTTGTCAAGCAATGGAATGTTGAGTGCGCGATATATTTGTCGTCTTTAAACATTTCATGTTCAATTCGTCTGAGTTTTCATCTCGAATGTGTAAGAATAACTTGAATGTCGTGCACTCACCATTGTAGCAAACAAACGATGATTGAATGAAACGGCGGATAAAAACAATACATTCGCCGTCAATTTGAGTAATAACTCATGCATTGCATATCTTGAAATGGAGATAAAGAATAGAAAAAAAGGAAAGGTTATGTTAACATTGATGGTCAAAAACAACTTGAGTTTTTCGGAAGACACTTATCAGGCTTGCGGTTTTTTGAATGTGCATTAATATTAATATCCGATAAGAAAATAAAAAGAATAAATATCTTTCTTTATATATTCATGAAACAATTCTTAAATTATTTAAACTTTAAAAAAACTTTTACGAGACAACGAAAATCTAATTAACAAATTTCATAGATATTTTATGTGAATAATTGAATTTCTATTTGAAAAAAAAATTTGCTCTTTAACGTCAACAAACTCATGAACAAAATATTTTTTTTTTATTGAAAATGATCAATAATTCGATGTTATTGCTATTTTTATTCAGGATTATGAAATCATTCTTTCACAGCTTATTTCGATTAACATTAACATATTTTTTTTGAAGGTTACAATTGAAGATTACGAATATTATTTTGATCGATTTTAATTTTTAATAGTTATTTACTATATTCACAATAAGATCTTAATTTCAGTTCTAAAATATTTAAAAAAAACTATAAAGTCTTTTCTTTCGTTTTAACTCAGTGAATAATAAAGATACTG